TTGTTTATTCGAGTAAATTTGTTTTTAATCAGAAAGTTTGGACGTCCGTGTACAACGTGGTAGGTATAATGGATCTTAAAGTGATGAACGTTCATTTCACGGAAATACGGAAACAAGCGTTGTTATTAAAAAGTTTTCATGCAAATTTTAACTAGTTAACTTTTGAGCAACTAGTTTTCGTGTTGTTTTGACCGTTCTGGCTTGATTTTTTGATTATTTTTAATAGAAAGGTTAATAATAAGGGGGAAAGAAAAATAATAAAAAAAAAACAACACAGCATTGTGAAACGATAGCAACCTCCCCACCTAAACCCCTTCGAAATCGACAATTAAAATTTTATAACAATTGGTTTCGCATTTATATCTAATGCATCCCAACACATGACTTTCCGTTAAAGTTGGATCCTTGTTAAAACAAAAATAAAATATGTTTCGTACTTTTTATTAAATTTATAGTTTATTGGTCAACTGTCAGAAGTTAATTAGGAAGACATTCATTTTTTATATGGAATAACAAGGAGATAATTTTTATTTATTCTTCCACCTAGCCTTGTGACTATTTGCAAGTAATTTTATACATCGTCTTATTTATAACTCTCTCCTGTATATATGCTATTAACAAAATTGATCCTTAAATTCACCCGTTCCACTACATTAATTCATCAATTACAATTAAGGGCTTGAGGACGAAATAACCACCACCAGTCAAATTCAAATCCTGATACATGTATTGGCGCGATCCTCCTTCTTCCCTGTTCCCCCTCATCGGCGAAAAATAAGAGAAAAACGAAAGCGAGCGAAGTTTGACGAATAATAAATGAAGTAAATGCACCAAACGCATAAAACACCTTGTGTGTAACTTCCGATTGTACGTAGAGATGGGGAAACGGTACCGTTATTTTGGAACGTCAACGTGTTTTATTAAAGAAAAACTGATTAAATATAATTTTGGTTATCTATAAGGTAAAGATACCAGTAGTCAACAAAAATATAATGGCAAATTTACAAATAATTTCATAAATATGCCTCTATATTTTGTTATCAACTTCAGATAGAACACCTTAAGTGTGGTCTAAGTAAACATTTATATTAAAATGACAGATTGTTTTAATTTTCTTTTTGGTAATTTTTTTTTACTTCATGCATTTGCTCCAAAGGTTGACAGATGCAGATTAGCTAGTTCTAGTAGTTGACATGATTTGCTCCGGTAGTTGACATACTACTTAGTGAGGTTAATAAAACAACCAATTTCGGATTAATTAATTTATTCATTAATTAAGAAGTTACACCAATGGATTCCTTAAACCTATAGCTAACCCTTTCACCCTTCAACACTAATTCAGGCTGCTCCAATTTTTTTAACACTTTAAATTAATTTTCAACTGCTTAAATTCTTTGTGAGTGTTATCAATGCATTTACAACCCATAACAATAATATTTTCAGATGAAATTAATGTTTGAACAATACACACAAATTTAAACTCCGACGAAATTCGTTTGCCATCCTTAAATTGGGTAAGAATATAATCGCCTTCCTTTAATTCACTATAACTCATGTTATTGACAATTAATACGTCCTCTTCATCTTCACTTTCTAATGTTTCTGACATGCCAGATTCTTGAAGAGAAAACCGAGTAGAAGAATCATTTAAAGAACTTGAAGAAGACGAGAGACATCTTTTCTTTGTAGTTGTAGCTTTTTTGGTCTTTTGCTTAGATTCTGCCTTTTTTGTTCCATATTCCTTTTTTTCTTTTCTCTAGCTAATTTTAGTTCTTCCTTTTATGTTTCCATTTCCTTTTTGGTATACAACTTTTTATTAAAATATTCCAACATTTGTGGAGAAGTAGCAATGGCTGGTAATTTTTTTTCTTTTTTTATCTTCAATTGGGACGTCTTCCTCCCAAAACAAAACTCTTTTAAAAGGGGAAGGAATGTTTTCTTTATGATCAGTAAATCCCTTCACTAAAAAGGTAGTTTTGAGATGGTTCAGTTCAATGCTAGTAGAACAAGAAGGTGCATTAATGTTTGTCACATTGTTTAACGGATTCTCTGGTGCTACTCATGACTCTGGAGTTGATGCTTCTATAATTATTGGTCCAGCAGGACAGTAGGAGAAATGTTTGTGTCTTGCGACATTACATCTAAGAACTCCAGTTCTTTTATGGATGCCAGTTCTTCATTAGATTGGCGAAAAAATTATATTTAGTTCTAGTAGTTCATATGTATATAAAAGTAATGTCTTCAGTAGGCCCTTTCTATTCATTTTGACTGTAAATAAAAGATGTTATTTTATCCTTGCCGATTTCACGTTCTAATATTGTAAATAATAGTTTGTTCTCTGCAATTTTTCTCATATTTAAAGTTTTAGTTTTTGCACTTGGCTCTCCATTAACCTTAACTGCCTTTGGACACATTTTTTAAATCCGTTTTTTATTGTTAAATCTTTAATACGAGGAAGAACTTCTTTTAATACTGTTGCACTTATTAGGAGGCTCTCCATTATGTTGAATTTTCCAATCTGCAACCTTCTGTCTCCAAATGGTTTTTAAGACATGAAATACAGATACATCCACAGGCTGCATAATGTGTGTAGCATTTGGATATAATGCTATTAATTCAATATTTTTGTCAATACAAAATTGACTAAGTTATAAGGATAGGTAGGAAACATGTCCATCTAAGAACATCACAACTGGTCTGGAAATACATTCCTTTTCATGCCAGGGTACGAAAATATTAGTAATATATTCAAAGATAGCTCTTGAGTCATCCACCCTTTTTTAGACTTTCCTATTGCCCAGTCAGAAGGAAATTTTTCAGCTATACCTTGTGGTATTCTGGTGTACCTGTATACTACTAGTGGAGGTGCAAGTTTTCCATTTGCATTGGCTGTAATTAAAGTTGTTATATTGAGTTTTTCATCATTACCAGCAGCATTATAAACAGTTTTACATCCTCTGGGAGCCAGAACTTTGCCCGGGTTTGGATTTAAAAAGAATGCTGTTTCATCACAGTTAAATACATACGAGTAATTTGGATTTTTTTATGACATTTTCTATTTTCTTCTCCTTTAAATATCTCGCAATTTCCTCAAACCATTGATTGATATTCTCTTGTGTAACAGCTGTAATTGTAATGCCCCAGCTACCTCTGAACGTCTAATGGAAATGGTTCTGAAAGGATTAACCTGGAAAACTTTATAAATCTCGATGACATTATGATCATGTCAAAAACTTTTGATGAACATCTACTAAATTTGACAGATTAAGAAATGCCAATCTAAGGCTTAATCACAATAAATGTCTATTATTTGGGACACATCGTTTCCGCAGAAGGAATCAAAACTGACCCGGAGAAAATTGGCGGAAACTAATAGACAAAAGGGAAATTAGAAATTTTCTTGGACTGTGCTCATATTGCCGAAAAGTGGTCAAAGACTTTGCCCAAATTGCTAAACCTCTTTATCGACTAACTGAAAACAGTAGTCTATTTGAATGGACGCCAGATTGTCAAAATATCTTCACCGAGTTAAGAAAACGATTGACCACGACACCCATCCTAGCGTACCCTCGGGAAAAAGAACAATTCATTTTAGACTGCGAGGCCGTGCTATCCCAAGAACAGGAGGAGAAAGATAAAGTAATTGCGTATTTTAGTAACAGCTTAGGAAAACTGAGAAGAATTATTGTGTTACAAGAAAAGAACTTTTAGCTATTGTCACTTCCACACTTACCTTTTTAACAGAAGTTTTATCATTAGAAGTGACCATAGCGCCTTGCAGTGGCTGATGAATTTTAAAAAACCTGAAAAACAAGTTGCTAGATGGATAGTGCATTGAAGGGGACGTCTCCATTGCAACGCTGACATTCTATCCAGACAACCCTGTTTAGAACAATACCGGTATTGTAAAAGGATTGAAGAAGAAGAGGAGCTAGTTGAAGAAGTTAGTCTTCAGGCGACCACTATCAAGCCAGAGGACGACGAAGACGGAATTACCCTTGAAAGCCTAAGAAAGACAATGACTTGAAGGTTGTCGGAGAATGGCTCAAAAATGGAGTCAGACCTACATGGCAAGATATCCAAATATATAGTGTATAAAGTAAACTGGACTCAGTGGGATACCCTGTATCTTCACGATGGTCTATTGCACCGGAAGTAAGAGAGCCCCGATAGAGTGCATGTACTTCGCCAAGTGATACTGCCGAAATCACAGGTCAGAAGTGTGGTAGAGGAATGATTGACACATATCAGATGTCATCCTTGTCATATATCTAATAATGAAAACAAACCCAAACTATTTGTATTAAAATGCAATGTCTATATGAAAAATAATTACATCTTGATGTACAACCCTGTACTTGATTAATTGCATTTTTAATATTAGTCCAGATATTATTTTTGGACTCAAATAAGAAATATTTTTTACAAAATTTAGTATTCAGTAAGACTTAAAAAAAAAAAAAAAAACTAAAAAATGATAAAAGCTGAACAATGATAAAAATGTGCGGATCCAAAGGTCCCAGGTTCGAATCCCACCACTGGCCGGGATTTTTTCATTTAATTTAATTATTTAAAATTAATTATGACGCCTTGGTAGGATTCCCCACTCGACCATTCACTGTTGGGTTCTAATTAACAGTGCTGTTCCTAAAGTGGCGCTGGGAAACAGTAACAAAGCCTACACAGAACACGAGGCTAATAACCTTAGTAGTCGATGCCGATGACACCAAATAAAATAAAAAAATTGGAATCTCAATCCCAATCGAATCCGTGAAAAAGTCAAACAAATAATTAAAAAAATTGATTTGTTTGATTAATTCAGCGTACCTAAGAATACCGATAAAAATTATGTAGATACATTCACAACATCTCACAAGCAAAACTCAGACTCAGAAAATAACTATCCCATCTCCATTCCCGATGCAAAATCGATACCGCCGATTTGCGCACGCTCCATATTTCCCTTCCGAACGCACGCCATCAAAACTGCTTTCCGACGACGCTCCGAACCGTCGACGTCTCTGGATAGTTCCTGGAAATCGCGGAAGGGCATCCGAGAGATGCATTACGTGTGACCGACCGTTCTATACAGGAAGCGCGTCGTAATTTTTTTCAAAAACGCCGGGTAAATCGGTTTCGTTTGGAAAAATAGAATATCAGTGCGGGAAATTCGTTTTTTATTGTTATCGTGCTGGAATTGAGTGATGGTTGGATGAGCGTGTGGTCCAAAATGAGGAAAATGGGGTTTTCGGTAAGAAATTAATATGTTCTTCATTTCATTTAGTACGATAATTTTTATTCTTCAATAGTTAACAAATAGGTATATAGTTTACAAAAATATCAAAAGAAAAATTGATAACTATTATAAAAGTTGATTTAATAGCTTGTCATTGTAATGTAATATTTTATTTATTAATTAAAGTCAAATAGCAACGTGTAATGTCTCACAAGGGTCGGTCTTTGGGCCTTTACTTCATTTACTTTACTATTTTTGAGACGATTTACGAGGTTTTCAAGATAATTTTACAAGGTTTTTCAGTATAAGAAACTTGTTGGTGTTTTTACAAATTATAATTGTAGATTTAATTTTCTTTTTCGTATTGAAGCAAAAAACAGACACGCTCAGACTGGTCGATTTTAGTTTGGAGGGGACACATTTTTCTAATTGCAGCATTGGCACTTCAAACTTCGAGCAGTGGGGTGAACAACCCCTACAATTTAAATAGGGAAAGTGCCATAGACAATACATCATTTTGATGGAGAATTTGGCAATAAGAATATTCGTTGCGTTACTTTTGATTTTAGCGCCCTCTAACTTGATAAAAATTGTGACGTATTGTAAAGCGTGACACTTCATTTGAAAGCTAATTTTATTTATAAATCAATGCACTATATACCATTAATAAATTATTTATGAATTAATGTCGAATTGTAACGTGTAATGTCTCGCAAGGATCGGTCTTTGGGCCTTTATTTCATTTACTTTAGTACTATACTATTTTTAAGACGATTTTTGAGGTTTTTGATATGATTTTCCAAGGTTTTTCAGAAACTTGTTGGTGTTTATACAAATTGTAACTGTAAAAGCAACTGTAAGCAATAAACAGAAACGCTCAGATTGGTCGATTTTAGTTTGGAGGGGAATTATTTTTCTAATTGCAGAATTGGCACTTCAAACTTCGAGCAGTGGGGTGAACAACCCCTACAATTTAAATAGGGAAAGTACCATGGACAATACATCATTTTAATGGAGAATTTGGCAATAAGAATATTCATTGCATTACTTTTGATTTTAGCGCCCTCCATCTTGATAAAAATTGTAACGTATTTTAAAGTGTGACACTTCATTTGAAAGCTAATTTTATTTATAATCCAATGCATCACATAACATTAATATAATTATCGCCATACTGCACTTGCAACAGTCTACAAATTAGTAATTGAAGACATAAGTAGATTTCAAATAATGGTTTTTATATCCTAATATGCTTTAAATTTGCTATATTTTTATTTTATGATAGTTTTGTTTTCCAATTTTGATAAATAATTGAGATTTCTAAGAAATTATTGTAAAACTTTAAACTTGTTATCAACTAACAATTCTGCGTGTTACAATCACAGGACTTTACAAACAGAAATGTAAATCTTAACTAAAATAATGTGCAATCTGCATAACACTTTCTGCCGATTAGAAATTTTAATCCTTTCTAAGAAAATTGAGGGCTACTTAAGGTTGTTCTACCGCTTTCCGTTAGGTCGAAGTTGAGAGGTACCTCATCCATTTCATAGAATATCTCTGTACGCAACCCTCTCTTTGTTTTTGTAAAGACAATTGTACGTGTAATAATTCTATCTTTCTCCGTTCATTCTAATGGGACGCCTATCTTTCTCGGTATTCATCTCCACCTGAAACGCGGTCTGGCCAAATTTGTCGATATATTTAACTATTGTGTTGATAGTAATTTCTTTGCAGAAAATATTTTTATTACTTCGACGACGGATTCGAAAGTTTTCTTTCTTCATCTAGTGGAATTATTTTTTAAATAAATTATTAACTACATTTAGATTGTTTTTATTAATATTCTAAGGTGAAATAGTTAAGGATTTTATACATATAGGGTCAATTGGGGTAAATGGAAACGGTTTTCGCAGTTTTTAAAATTCAGTTTAGTTTTTGACATTAAATGACGTTTTCTTAATTCACAAGTTGAGATATAAATAAGTTAGACCTTCTACTTTAAGGCTCGTATATTTTTTTTATAAGTAAAGATGTGTTTTTGAAAAAAAAAGTCAACATATATCGTGTTTACAATTACTCAGTGCCGGATTTATATTTTTTATGAATGTAGGCCACTTTATTTCCACCGCCCCATGTACCTTTCTAATATAATAATTTTCCATTTATAGTAAGGAATGCTCTAAAATAAATAAACGAATGAATTAGTCATTAAAAAAGAGCCTTAAAAAGAAACAAGAATTGCAATTTTTTACGGGACTTTTTAATATCAAAATCAAAATATGATCTAGTTTATGGTGTTCATTATCTCTGCTTCTATATAGAGAAGAGCTAAAGAATTCATTTTTTCTTGAGACAATGAAGACCTTTGATATTTTTTCACGCGTTTTAAACAGGAAAAACTCTTTTCCCAAGAACAATTTGTAGGGTAAACATTAGACAGATATTGATTCCTTAAAAAGGTTGAGAGACAGTAGTGAGTTTGATCCAGGCTTCACTGTACACTCTGCAGTTTTATTAGAGGAAATGTGACTGTGAAAATGCACACATTCTTGAACCAAATCATCGTAATATAGATAAAATAGGTACAATAACAGTAGGTACCTAGAATTGATAATTTTCAATAGGAATGAGTTTCTGTAGGGATTTAACGTATTAGTATAAAAAAATCATGTGAAAAACAGTGAACTTTTTTGACTTTTATCCTCTGAAATCGAGTGAGCGTCCTCTGAAATCTGCCGCCCCTAGGACGCTGAAGCCCCTAGGCCGCGGCCTATACGGCCTATTGACAAATCCAGGACTGCATTTACTCCAGACCTGTCGGGGTAAATCTAAACGCATTTCTTTTTAGCTAAGCATTGCACTGCTTAACGTCATGGGGCAAATGTGAACAAATTAGTTTTTATACATTTTGTAACAAACATATGCAATTTGAAAGCATGTTTACATTTACCCAATATTATCCCAAACTAAATAAAAAATCTTTATTTTGGTTACTTCATTTCAAAATTTGTAGCTACAAACAGCAATTCAACTTACTTATACATATATAGGTTATAAAAATAAATAAAAATAGGTAAACAATTACAAATGAAACGTAAGATCGAGATAATTAACTAGCTCTTCTCCTGTACTGGCACAGTTCCCAAAAATTTATACAAAACTCTTTCCCCTTTCATCTAAATCTCAGGATCTGGTAGTATTCCTACAATCTGATCTATAGAAATGTAGGTAACATCACTTTGGTTAATGGTAAACAGCATTTTGGATGAATCCCAGGACTTTAGATCAGTGATTTTTTTTCTTCTGCTGAATCAATAACTTCAACCAACCACGTAAATATATTTAAATGTGGTGGCATTTTTTTTCTTTTGGTATTGAAAAATGTTTAATGGTCCCATTTAGTGAACCAAGAACTGCAGAAGAAGTTGCATACAACAGCCTTTTGAAAAATGAACGTGTAATTATCGAAATATGCTTCGAACAGTTAAAGCAACATTCCTTTATAACAAAATACAATTAGACTGCAGTTAAGAAAAGTGCCATCCATTATGATAGCATGTTGTGTTCTTCATAATATTGGAAAATATTTAAAAGATGAAAAAGTGTTTGATGGCGATGAAGACGATGACAACATCGAAGATGAGGAACTTGTTGGACTACTTAAATTTCGAAGGGAAGCTAAAGTCATACGCAACCGTTTAGCCATAATTATTTACGCCAATCAAAATAACTAACATAATTTTTATTAAATCGAAAATACATATACAGTGTGTCCATGGATGGGGTCCCCAAGGGGGAAAAAAATCTTTATTATTCATTAATATTCTATTTTAAAATATTGGAATTTTTATTTAAAAATTTGTATTTAGTCTCTATGCTAGTTTATAAACAACTTTGTTTTATAAAATTTTTGTTAAAAATAATAAATATTGGTACTTCCCTCTTGAAGCATTTTCATATTTTCCTAATTTATTAACACCCTGTACATTTAATCTTAAATTTTAATAAGGCAACTCCATTTTCTCAACAAGCAGAACTTTTTATAAAGAATGACTTTTGGTCGTAAAATGAATAATAAAGATTTTTTCCCCCTTGGGGACCCCATCCATGGACACACTGTATATCTAATTACAACATAGTATAATTTTTCTATCCTTCTCTTAGAACATGATCTTTATTTAATTCTTTATCAAATTTTGCCTTTTTAAGATTTAGAACATGCAGTTGCTTCAAAAGCACCAATCTTTCAAGTTTCGTGATGCTTAACGTACGTGCTTCCTTTGTTTCGTACTGTTTTATAATTTTTTTGTCGATTTGGACGCACATGTAACAGTGATGGCAGTATTGAAGGAGACACTGAATCAATTGACGGACCTGCCACTTCATTGGATTGTTTTTATTTTTGTTCGTTAGAAGGGATTCCAACTGCAACATGTCCTGAAACGAAATATTACACTAGCTTATATACAGGGTGTATCAACGATGCGTGGGTGAACGATAGCTGCTTCCCTATATGAGATAGGAAAAAATGCTTCAAATAAAAGTTGTAGAGGGCATTAAAAGCTACGTTCCAAAAATAACTACCAATATACCGATAAATGTATAAGTTATCGAAGTAATGTTTTTTTAAAGGAAACACCCTATATATTTTTACTCGAATAAATTTCTTTGGAAGAGTGTTTCTCAAAAATATAGGGTTGTATGGGTTTATACTGGGTGGTTAGGAATTTATGGTGGGATTTAGGTAACAAAATGGGTTTATTCAACATCAAATATCTCTAAATCAATAATTTGGAATACATTTTTTTTTCTGCAGAATATTCTCGAAAATAGTGTATTTTCATTTTCTATTCATAATTTTAGCGAATGGCGCTTTTTCCATACAGGGGCAACCAAAACTCGGGACCACTTTTTTCTCAGTTTTTTCAAATGGAACACCCTGTAAATGAGGCCATACCAGGATAGCCCATACCATGAGCTTTCAGAAAATGTAGGGTTTGCCTACTTGATTTTTATCGGAAATGTATCTAATTCTTAAGGAAAGTATAAAAAAGTTGTTTCACCTATTCAGGGACATATATACACAGGGTGTCTCAGTAAGAATAGGACACAAAACAACTGAATATTTTTTGATTAAAAATAGGATGATTAAACGAAATTTGCTTCAATAAAATATGACTGGTTTTTAAGTTGAACATTCAAAAATTATTAATGGCTATAATTTTTTTATTGTTCAGTTAAATTTACCAAATTTTGTAAACGCAGCATTTCCGGAACCATGTTTATATAAATTTTTTATTTTTTTCATATTTTTACATATAGAATTTGCTTTTAATTTTTTTCACAACGTTCTGTATATTTTTAATAAAAAACACTCATTAAAACGCAACAACCAACCACAACACTCCCCTAATTATTCCCTTTTCCGTGAAAAGTTCGTTCGATTGCAGCCCAGCTAACAAAAGAAAACCGAAATCAATTCGTTAAAACCGATACGACCGTCTATTGTTAACTTTCATTACTGACAAAGTGAAAAGCAGGCTACGTTTCCACTTTTTCCACTGGAGAGTCTTTTGTTTTGAGTCTCGGCCATTGGCCGTCCAAGCTGTTTTGATCAAGACAAATTGCAGATCTCTGCAATGGAAGTTTAGATAAGGAGTTCGTTCTTGGCGAGTGCCGAAGTTGAAATAACAAAAAAGTAAAGGGAGTTTTGCCTTTAGTTTTTGGACTTTTAGTTTTTTTTTAAAGAAGATAAAGTATGTGTGAAGGAGTGCAAGAAATAAACCATTGATAACACAAATAGTAGCGTTGATGTAGATATTTCCTTTGTTAATTACTTTTTTAGCTTCCTAAGTGCTATTTTGCAATCTAGCATCTAAAATAACTATCCTTGGTTTACGAATCTCTGTGAAAATCTTAACTAAATAACATTATAACTTTAAAATAACCTTTTCTATTAAATTCCTACGGAAATATTTTTTCTCCTAACACCTTTTTTACTCAATTTTGATCAAACTCGCAGTGACAGTTTCCGAAAATAGCACCCCAATGTTGTTGTTGTACGTTTTCGTGAGTATAACGCATACAGGGGGTGAGAGATGCCACAAATGGACTAATGACATCTTGGAAAACGTGAGAACATTCATCAAATAGAGTTTCTTACACTCCAAAGTGATTCAGAGTGACGATGAAATATGTTGATTTCTAAATGCTATCGTCTATTCAACAGTCTTGGATTGAGTTTGAGTTTTAGGGAGAATTTTATTTATAACTGTATAGTTGAAAAAACTATGATAATAATTAAAAGAAGAAAGAAAAACTATTAGCAATAAATATTCAGAAGAAATTCGCGAGTAAATTGCAGAAAAAAGAAAAGCCAGTAAAAAATGGTAGCAAACGAGTAGTATTGCAAATAAAAATATTACAATAGATTCTCTTAACAATTAAAAAGAAAGATGCAAGAATTATAAAATGGATCTTTTGATTCATATCTTTGTGAACTAACAAACTAAAAAGATACTGACCAACAAAGAAGAGGCCAATAGCCCATAGTTCCCCAATAGAACCTTTTTGTAGAACACCTGGAGAAAATCTACTAAACTAATAAATCAGATGAAGAAAATGACCTAGATAAAATATAAACAAAAAAAAGGAGACAATACCCAGAAGAAGTTATTGAAGGAATACATCAAACATCAATAGAAAAATAGCCTTTGGATACGATCCCATTACAGAAGAATCACTGAAGAAATGTCCAAGAAAATGTATTCAAATTTGATAAATGCCTCTTTCTCTATTGACTGTGGTTTCAAAACTCTTTTGGAAGCTGTTATTAAAGAGGTTCAAAGTGGTGATAGAGAGGAAAAACTAATAAAAGACTGTCAATTTGGATTTGCACGACAATATAGATCAATTCTACATGATTAGAGATCTAATAGACAAAGTCTATGAGGCATAAGAAATCTACTTTGTATTTTTCGTTGACATCTTGCTTTGATAAAGACTGACATAAAAGTATAAAATTGGGACAAATACTTCCAAAGCAGTATATATACCTTCTAGATTCGTACATAACATAGATTTTATAGATGGAAATTAGAGAAACAATAATCTGAGTTAAATGTAAATAAGACAGTTTTCGTTTTTGTCGACCCCCGGGAAACCGATTTCGACCACTTTTGGAATCCCTGGTCCACGTCTTGGGCAACTTTTTCTTAACTCTCATCAGAATTAGAAACCCAATCTCTATCTTTTAAATCTTCTGAATCGTCTGACTCATTAAAATTGTTTATGTCATCAAAAACGATTTCTTCAACTTTGTCATCCATGTCAATACATTCATCATCAGTTTGATAATTTTAATTTGTGAAGGTGCTGAAGAAACAAGAAAGCCATCTACGGCTGATTCGGAAGAATCGCTTGAATTTCACGATAGTCATGACAGTCAAGACAATCAGGCAGAAACGAACCAACATGATAAGCCACTACAAAATCTGATAGATGTATTAGAAAGATCTAAAGAATCCACGGAAAACATGGATACTACGGAACAAAAATCCAATCTTGAACCTGGAGAAATATCCAAAAATGACAAGACCGAGTACACACAAGTACAACAGCCTACAATAGTCTTCAAAACTATCCCAATGCCACAAAATGTCATAAAAAGGAACCTGGACTTTGGAAATGCTGCACAAAGCGGAATCCTCCCTTTAACCCCTCATATAAACCCTCTGGCAGTCGGGACAACACCAAAAAAGAGGTGAATTGAGTAGCCTCCTTCCAGGGTTAGTGTTCACACCCCAGGGTGTTCAGAAACCAATATCCACTGACGCAATCAGCAAAATCAGAATAAACAGCGATCCACGGATAAGAATCGACGTAAACAAGACTGATATTCCCAGTAACAGATAACATCATGCGCTATGATTCAAATAGCTATATCTCTGATGAAGAAAACAGAACCAGAAAGAAGAGAACAGATTCAGTAACCTACCACACTCTCCAAATAGTCTATTTGAGCTAAGAAATGCAGCTGAAAGAGCGGAATACGAACAGGAGACAGACAAGGACGATGAAGTATCTGCGACAAAACAAGGAAACGAACTGCCGTATACAACTCCAAGAAAATTTAGCAGAAATTTCCAAAATCTCATAAGAGAAAAAAAAAACGCTAACCCCCACTCAAAACAAATATTTACCCCTTACTGACGAATCAGACATGGACACTGATGATGAAATTGGCAGGATTGTCAAAAAAAGAAAGAAAGGGACCACATTTATACCACTAGATTTGTCCGAAAACCCAGTCATCCGAAATGCCAATGATACACAAGGCAAAGCAGCAAAAATCGACCAATCTCATAAAACTGCAGTTAGACCTAGTAAAATTAAAGATACCATGCCCCCAATTGTTATCGACGGAAGGACAGCGAACCAAATAAACCTAATAAGGGATATAAAGGACATAGTTAAAGGAGAATTCTCAATAAAACATACCAACTACACCAACATACATCATTTTCACAGAAAATGAAGATCACCAAAAAGTGTTAGACAACATAAAGTCAGAAAACCTGCCACATCATACTTACACCTCTAGGGATGTTAAATCACACGCTTTTGTCCTTAGAGGTCTCGCAGAAAGTACAAAAATCTCCGACATCGAGATGAATCTCGAGGAGGAGCACGAGATAAAACCGCGCGCAATCTATCAAATGCGTACAAAAGATCGTCCCTTATTTCTAGTGGCCACCGACCCGGTAATCACCCTAGAATATCTTAACAAAAACACCAGAAGGGTCCTATACACCAGGGTGACGTGGGAGCTAAGAAAGTCAATGAAACTAATCATACAGTGTCATAACTGCCAACAATGGGGGCATGCCACCTCCAATTGTGGCAGGCAAGCAAGATGCTTAAAGTGTGCGGGGGATCACCACACAAGAACCTGCACAAAAACACCAGATACGCCACCAACTTGTGCAAACTGTGGGGGTGATCACCCCGAAAATTACTCTAAATGTGTCAACTACGTTGAAAAACTAGATAGAATGCTGGAAAGGAGACCAAAAGTGCAGCAAAAATATTTTCTCGCCCCCCAGCCGATTCTAAACCAATGGGAGGCCAGAAGGATGAATAGAAACACCAATGATGAATTCCCAGCCTTACCGTCCAGAAACTCGCGTGAAAACATAAGAATTACACAGATCCCAGACAGAAGACAAGAAAACCCGAGACAATCGACCCCCGGCGTGGCCATGGATGATTTCACGACACTTAACAACGAGTTTGAAACCTTAAATAGACTTATCAATATAGGTGAATTAACCAGAGCAGTCAGAGTATTGAACGCCAGACTAGTAAACTGTAGAACGGGAAAGGAAGTCATAGATACATATACTGCATTTCGTGGGCTTACAAGCAAAAGGCACTAAGTCAAAAATTTGTCAAAATGCGTTTATATTTTTGTATATCAGTAAAAAATAGTCCATTGTATTCCGAAAGCATGTACATTTTCTTTGAAGCAGTTGATATTCCGTAAATAATTTATAAAAGAATAGACCTTCATTGAAACTTTGAATTGCTTATAACGTATAAACCTATTTTTTGACTTAATACCTTTTGCTTGTAAGCCCACGATTTATAATGGACGTTGACATCAATTTCAATCTCTTAAATTCATAACACACATATATCAATCGACAGTAACATTCGTTTAATTAGTTTAATTACATTATAAAATGCTTTTGTAGGTGTTTATGCGACTACGGAAGCACTTTTTCTCAGAATCTCTTCGATTTTCTGGGAAATTGGTGTGTGTAGGGGCATGAATATCTGCAAATAGCACTCATTTACGTACAAACAAGACAAAACATAGGAGAAGACCGACGTTCATTCTCCATAGCAGCGAGAACCCCACTGAATAGTCAAATCAAATCTCAAATCACTACGACGATTAGTTACCAACTATCGTCGGACGGAAGACTGCACGGTGACGTCATCATTCGGTGCGAAAATTCGCGGCTCGCCCGAAATGTGCTGTTTGATGGCTTAACTGTGTAGTCTTGTGACTTGATTATTTCATGTACATAAACTACCTTTTTCTATGTAAACTACCACGTAAATGACACACATTTTAGGACAACCCTGTTTTTTCAACTGGTTTTTCAGGGAGGACTGACACAATTAAAATCACACAATAACTCAATACGTTTCCATTACCTGATCTGGTTAATAGCCTATATTGACTTATAATGCTGATTTCAGCAAGGAGGGGTCACTTTTCAGCCATAACTAAAACTGATATTTTTTAATACCACGGCCACGATATCGGTGATGGCCCCGTTGGGGGTCATCACAGAAGAGGAACACTTCTAGAAGCCTCATTTTAAGAAGATATCTCTCTGTATTTTTGTTATTAGAAATGTATTAAAAAAATTATGTACATATTGTAAATAAAGACATTTTGTAAGTAAGTAAAGTAAGTAATTTGTGATATGTAGCATATTCTATTTTTATTTTTCTTCTTTGTTTAGTTTTTCTAGTTTGTAAGTTTTACTAGTTAATACTTCTATTATTACAAAGGGACCTCAATACTTTATTTTAGTTTCTTTAGCTTGACATTTTATTGATTCTGGAAAATTTCTCACTGCTACAATATCTCTGTCTCTCCATCTTATAGCAATAGTGCCAAATGCTGATGAAGCCATTGAAAAGCCTTAATAAGACACTAATGAATTCCACAGATGGACCAAACAATGGAAAAAAGGGCAAAGTTCTGTTGCATATTTATGGAAACTATTCCTATATTAAAGACTTTTAAATGCTATAAAGGTATTATGAACCAATTTAGGGTAAAACCAATATTTTTATTGATATTAAAGTCAGACAAGTTCACATTCCAAACTCTTAAAACTAAAAGATAACGAAGACGTAAATCAAATAACAAACTGAGCTACTGTCGTTTGACAATAAAAGCACCGAGGGTAACATTCTAATGAGATTACAGAAAGTCGAATTGCTTCAATAAAACTCAGCATATACAATTTCTAGATGAAATAATTCGGTTATTTGAAGCAAAAGTGTAAAGATGGTTTCGCGTTATACGAATGTCAAAGAGAACAGGGTTGAATATGAGACTGACGATGACGGTTTTATTAAAAAAAGTGAACAGCGAATGGAAGTCATTTTAATTTTACGTTATTTGATTTTCAGCCGTCAAAATAAAAACTAACCGTTACGTATACAAGGGGTTTTAAAATTGATGTGTCTTTTCCTTCTAATGCTTATGTTCTAACCTTAGATTATACAAACCTTAGATGGAACATAAGACACTGCGCATAATCCCATTTCGAAATTATTCACACCCACCAATCACAGTTGAGAACATCACATGTCAGAGCGTTGTCCATCCAAATTTAATGTGTCAACGAGAATTAATTTGGTATTTTAGTGACTTAAATTTTGGAAATTAACGTTTAAAATGCCAAGATGTGTTGTAGAAAGCTTTATTTATAATAAAAGTGCGAAATGTGATGGAGATAAAAGAAACTTATATTTATTTCGGTGAGATATTTAATTTTTAAAGATTCTGTCGACGTCCATATTTGTTGATTTGAAAATAAACAGAATCGGACTTGGTCATTGGTACATGTTATAAGTAGCAAATAAAGGTTATTTTTATAAACTGTTTACTATTTCTTGTTTCATGGTGAATCTGTTTTCAGGAAGTGGAAAGAGAAATATACAATCAAATACAAAAATATCAATTTCATTGCCAATTTATTCATTTCAAACTTCACAACTGGTTTCAATAGTTTTTTCAAAACTATTTATTTAGTATTTCTCTATAACAGGGTTACTTAAAGTGTGCTCCGTGGAGCCCTGGGGATCCGCAAAGCCTTTGTGAGGACTCCGCGAAGAAAATAATCATAATAAAAAAAACAGTACTATCTCCACAAAATGGAGGGACCTGGCTTGAGGACCCTTTTTTGAGAAGTAATTTTTTTAAGTCACTAAGAGAAAGGAGGATATGATTTTGCTTTAGGACTTTTTTTATTTTATTTGTTATGGGTGAAAAGGAATCTTTGGAATTAATCAAAAATAAATTAACAACAAATTATGTTCTTATGCATTTTCAGCCTGAGTTGCCGATTAAATTAATCGTAGATGCATCAAATGTGGGAATAAGGGCCATATGTCATGTTTTTGAAAAAATATTGAGAAATCTATAGCTTCTGCTTCGCGTATCTTATCAAAGTCCGAACAAAAATATTCCCAAATTGAAAGAGAGGGCCTTGCAATAATTTTTGGCTTAAATAAATTTAATGAATATTTATATAGACATTTCTTTATCCTAGTTACAGATTACTTACCTCTGGTAACTATTTTTAACCCATTTTCAGCCAACAGACTACGTAGATGGTCAGTAATATTGTCAAATTACAATTATAAAATTGAATATGTAAAATCGAAGCATAATATGAAGCCAATTTTTTATCACGTTTACCTTTGAAAGTCAAAATGAGAGTCAAAATGAAGAAAAATCTGAAAAATATTTTTTAAATTATGTGTTTTATGTGTTGAGGGCCCCGTCAAATATTTCGCTTTTCAAAAAGGTTCCGTCCCCAAAAATGTTTGAGAAACACTGCTCTATAATAATATGGGATCTATCCATTTAATTACATTTTATTTTCTCTAATTTTGACATATAAAGTAATATATTTTATAATCACAGCAAGTGCCAAAACGATCTACTTTATGCAACCAGTTGCATAATGTAGAACATTATGCAACTGATTACGAAAAGTTGATTATGTCACCAATTACGAAATGAAAATAAATAAAACTGCCTCTTTTTTGGTTTTTAAGTCGAAAAATCGAGAAATCGAGTAATCGAAAAATCGAAAAATAAAAAATCGAAAAATCCAAAAAACGAAAAATCGAAAAACCAAATATCGGAAAAAAGGCAATGAATAGGGACATTTCACATTTGAAAATATGACATTACGTTTAACGTTTTATTTTTAAATAATTGAACACCGTTATTGAAAACTGCCCAGAAATGTTGGGGGTAAAATTTTGACGTACTCCTTTAAGGATAATGGGTAAAAATGTTTTTTTTTTCAAATTTCTCGCGGGTAATGTCAAAAATCAGATCAACAACACTGCACATGTTCCTTATTTTTATTATTATTATTAAAAAAAAAAAACGTCTTAGGGCAATCAAATACAACAATTGTCTGAAGTATTTGATTGGTAGTGCCTGAAAAATAATGCTGGTGAATCATTTTTAAACACAATTTTATAAATAATCAAGACAAAATTAGAAAAAATCTTGTATGTAAACACGTTACCAAATGCCGTTTTGTGTAACTCGTTCATTTTGCAGGACCTCGCTCCGCTCGTCCCGCAAATATTTACTCGTTACACAAAATAAGGCATTTCGTAACTGGTTACATAAATAGCTATTAATTGACTTCCTAATATTTTAAATCATTGAACGGTATTTTCCGTAAATACTTAAATCATAAATAATTACCGGTATATAAGTACCAAAACATTTTTTTTTTCTTTGAAGAATAGGCTTATGTCAAATAAACTTAAAATATAACGAACGAAAAGGTAACCCATTTCTAATAAAATTTAATTATTTATTTTATTTTGGTGTGATCGTAGAAAAAATCTTGTATGTAATTCGGCAAAAAGTACTTTGGCTGTTTCGATAACTTTTTGTCTCAACAGCTATTTTGTTACAATAATTTTATAAACTTTTACTTACGGTCGATTTCACCGTTTTGTTAAACGAAGTTTAAAATAGTAAACGAAGATTAAAATGACATTTTTATATTAACAAAAATAAAGTTTAAATTACCAAATGGAGTTTAAAATGACATTTTTACATTAACAATGTCATTTTAATCTTCATTTAGTAATTTAAACTTCGTTTGACACAACGGTGGAATCGCCCCTTAGCTAGTTATATATTGATAAAGTGTTATTGCCCTCATCAAAAATGAATCGTGCTGACAAATAAAGTCAAAAAACCGTCTCATAATTTTTCATCTTTTAGTTACCTACCAAAATTAGGTAGTACAATACAAATATTTAAGTCCGGTCCAGAACATCTCCCTATTCCTTCCACCCAGTTTTTCGGTTTTGGCAAAATTCGCGCAGTGACAAATGCTTCCTATGTTACCTCTACCCTTTCTAACCTCTTTGGTTCTAACTAAAGTCTGCATGTTAATTCCTTCCCATAAACTTATTTATTTAAAAATATTTTTATCGTATCACCGACCTTCGTCCAAGCAAAATATGTTCCTACTTTCAACTTTACATCCATGTTTCTCCACTAAAAACAGAAATTAATTCATAGGGCTATTCGGGGCTGCAAAAATATGAGGAAATGACTAGAAATTATACCGAAAAAGGGTCTTCTGTGGTCGACAAACGAAAACAGCAATATTTAACCTCATTCTCCAGAGGGTGAAGGTACAGTTTTAGTTAGGCATAAAATCCGGGCTTTGACCGCATTGCCACTGTCATATGTTTGCGATATTTTAAACCCTTGGACTTCGGGATAGGGACTTTGCGTGTTGTTTTTCCATCATTTTATGTTAAGACTGGAATTCGGAAGGTTTATTTTGGAGCAGTTGATATAATGTCTAAATAGAGTGTTTCATAAGTACATATAAAATTAAATGAACTGTTAGCTTTTCCTCACTTAGATGGCGCTCGTAAAAGATTGACATTGACTTTGGCATAACATTTAACGTCTATTTAATAAAAATTTGTGCATAATAAACACTATCAAACTTGTTAATAGGAACAAAATTACCAAAAAAAATAAATTCACGGAGCAAATATACTATGACTATTTTAAAAGTGTCATTGCACGCCCCTGCTCAGATCCTGAAATGCAGCTCAATTTACTGCTTAATTATATAATGATGTAAATAATGAATAGAATGGAGTATTTCTTGCACAATTTGTATTTATTTATCTTGGTAATAATCGATTTCCATCAAACACTCCAGAATATCTTTTTAGATGAAATAATGCACGACAATGGCCCTTTAATTAACTCTAAAACAGACATTGTACCGAAATTAAATTAAAACGCACTCAAAATGGCTGCAGCACTCTGCGAAGCGTGTCGATATTGTTTTGATTGATATTTGAATTTAGCTCTAATTGAAGAGAGAGAAATAATAAATAAATCAAAAAAACGAAGTTCATTTGCATTGATGCAATGTAAATAGCTGGAAAAATGCAACAAAGCGTTGAATTTATAACAACATTTTGAATGATTCCTTTTTTTATCTTTTTTTCTGAAATTAACCGGTTAAATGACGTTGACAGAGATCATAGAACATTTTTAGTGAGAGTTGGTTCTGTGAAAAAAAAAACATTAGAGGCGCTCAAAAGCTCATCACTGATTATTTTTCTGACGGCCAATAGTCCTAACTTTAGATAAAAGAAACAAGTCTTAACTATGGTCCCAACCTTTCATATTTCATAAAATAATAATTTCTTGCTACATAAAACTCGAAACCCATGCAAAATTTCCTTCCTGTCATCTATCACTGACCTTACACGTCAAAAATATTTAAAATGACCCCAAAAAAATTTTAAGTAGTTAAAAAACAATGAGCTCCTCATTTTCAGATGTCGATTCGTCAAAATCCTGGGAAGTTACGTCAATCGAAGAAATCATTGGAGATTCGTTTGAGACGGAATACGAATCGTCATCAGTAGATACAGAATTAGATGGAGAAATAGACTCCACAGATACAGATACACCTGGGATAGATACACAAATTAACTCAAAAATCGTTAAAGAATACATGAAATTGGTGGAAGTACCAGAATTTCTTTGTAATATACCCAGTAGAGAAAGAGTACCGGTTACAATTAAAAAAGGTGAACTGGACCTTTCATCGATACACAGTAAAGCATCGCCTATTCTTAATTACTTACACCCTAAAGAAAACAAGTTTTACAGTACTTATATCTGTCCAAACGAAAGAAAATCTAGAATCCCAGTATCAACAAACCCATTGGTCTACAGAGGACAATCCTGCATCTGTTCCAGATGTAGATGCAACCACGCTGGTGATACTGGTAAATTTGCATCTTTATCCCACTCAGAAACCATGAAATTTCTGCAAGAAGAGAAAGATAAGATCCGCGCTGCTGGAGGATTCAAACCCATCACCCCCACCGGGGAAGAGAAGATATTCCCGGAAGACTCTAAAGAAATTGAAGTTGAATGCACTTGCGGTGGAGAAACATTTTGTAATACCTGCGCTTTGAAACATATGAAACGAGAATTGGAGGGGTTGGTGAATCATATCAAAGAATTGAGGATGAATATACCCGGTTCATTCAGCAATTTTGATATGGAGGAAGCTTAGAGGAAGCGTCAGAAGTTCATTTATGTCTTGTTACGAACTCAATCGGCTATAAGGAAAGTGATTGTGTGGATATTGAAGACCTAGAAACAGAAAATCTTCAGTTTAAGTACAAAACTGTCATTGATAATCTTGTTTAATGTTGACCAATAGTTTTTTCGTTGTTTAAAAATATACATTTTTTATTAAATTCAGTTTTCTTTTTCATGAAGTAAATTTAGATTTTTCCCACTTCTAAGTCAAATGACATCATCAATCATTACCATTGATAAAACAATGGGTATTACCTACAAAACTAAGCCATTTCTCTCAGAAACGAAAAAAAGGAGGTAAAGAGAGAAGATGAGGAAGAGGTAGAAAAATGACAGAAGAGAAAGAATAGAGAAAATTACAGAAAGGACCATAGAAAGGATAAGAGAAAATAAAAAAGACGTAAGGAACAAAAAAAGAATGGAAAAGGAGAAAAACGAATATTAAACAACTTATATACAGGGTGAGGCACCGAAAACGAAACAAATCGCATATCTTGAAGACACATTTTTTTTGGAGAAAATGCAAAAAGAGGTCTATTTTTATTTCAAAGGGGACATCTTTCGATCATACATCCCTCCCCACCCTTCTGTCACTATTTTTTTTTTTTAATTTGGTGTCATCGGCGTCGACTACTACGGCCATTAGCCTCGTGTTCTGTGTAGGCTTTGTTACTGTTTCCCAGCGCCACTTTAGGAACAGCACTGTTAATTAGAACCCAACAGTGAATGGTCGAGTGGGGAATCCGACCAAGGCATCAGAATTAATTTTAAATAATTAAATTAAATGAAAAAATCCCGGCCAACGGTGGGATTCGAACCTGAGACCTTCCGATCTCAAAGTCATGACTCTAACCACTGAGCCAACCCACCCCATTCCTGTCACTATTACCAATAAAATTGAAATAGGGAAAGTACTAAATGTGACACATCATTGAAAAGGTAATTTTATAAGAAGACTGTGTGACAGTTTATTACGTTACGTTTTGATTTTGGCGCCATCTTGCGGGAAAAGTTTTCGAAGTTTAAATAATGATACTTCATTTGAAAGTAAAACTCATTTAATAGATAATTCATAATAAAAATAAAAGAAAATAATAGAAAAGTGAACATAAAAATTAAATTGTAAAATTTAGGACAACTCCCATAATTGAAAACTAAATTACTTCAAAATGCTCAAAGTATTGTTTATTAACTTCCATACTCGAATATAAATTATTCTCAAATCTTTGTCTGACGTTTTGGAGCATTTCTGGAGTTATTTGACGACATTCGGTAATAATACGTTCACGTAACTCTTCTAAGGAACCTGGCTGAGTGGCGTATATTTTACTTTTCAAATATCCCCATAAAAAGTAATCTAAGGGGGACATATCAGGAGATCGTGGGGGCCATTCAATAAATCCTCTTCGTCCAATCCAATGTCTAGGAAAGTTTTCATTTAAGTACTGACGAACCGCTGCAGCAAAATGTGGAGGAGCCCCGTCCTGTTGAAATATTAGGTGATCTTCAAGGTATCGGTTATCGTTTTCTATTATGTCTGTTAACAGTGGATCAACGGTGTTTTCGAGTAATTCCAAATACATATCCCCAGTTAAAGTACCTGGTAAAAATAATGGACCAACAATACGATCGCTAAATATTCCAGCCCAAACGTTTAACTTTTTTGGGTGTTGAGTATGCGTTTCATGAAATATTCTTGGATTGGAATCTGACCAGTATCGACAATTATGTCGATTGACAGTCCCGTTAATATAAAAACTGCATTCATCTGAAAAACAAATGTTATAAAGAAAATGTGGATCTTGTATAGCATGCTCGCTCATGATTTCACAAAATTGCAAGTGGCGATCAAAATAGTCTTCGTTAAGTTCCTAAACTAAATGAATTTTATAGGGATGGAATTTGTTGGTTTTCAAAATTCTCCTGACGGTACGGTCACTTACTCCAGATAATTCTGCAAACTTTCTTGTACTAAGAGTTGGATCTGCAATAACTAAAACGGCTACCTCTACGGCTTCGTTTCTTACTGGATTTTGAACCTGTCCTTTTTTATTTTGAACATATCGAAATTTTAAAATAAGTTCCAAAACGTACTTACGTTTAACTTGTTTGTTTGGGTGTCGCTCATTGAAAATTGTACAGGCAGTGTTAGCACATTCGTTATTTTTTAAATAACATTCAATAATTTCTACTCTCTCCTGAATAGAATAAACCATTTTTATGTTTTACTCGCTATACTCGGACAACATATTGAAGAAGGTGATTCCTCCCTGTTCACGTACAACAATAATACTATACTAGAGCATAATGAATGGAATCACGCGCTTAAAACTGCAGAAGTTATCGGTATCACGTGCAAACTAGTCATAAATGCATGTTTATTGCCAAAATTAATTATACTTATATTATATATAAGTATAAAAACTATTGACAAATTAAATGCACACACACACAGACATCATCGCGAAAATAGTCAAAATGGATTCAGGGGACCCCAAAACGTAAAAATCCGTCGAAAACTCGAGGTCGAAAAAAATCATGATTCCTATACTTTCCTTATATCTGTATACAGATAGGAAAGTAAAAAATTACTAAATAATACCTATTTTTCAGAGCAAAAAAGCTTTAAAACTGTATCAAATCATGACCCTTTCTGTCAAATTTAAATACAATCCAAATGTGTATCAAAATATGACGGGGACTTACCTGGATTAACCTAAAACACGTTTAGTGCTTATGTGCTAAAATTCGAGATTAAATTTTAAAAGGGTGTGTTGAATCGAAAAATCGATATTAAGAGCTTTTCATTAAACCTTCTGAGGGGTGAAAATGGGACAGAATTCAGTGATGTGATACTCAGATAAGTAAGTAATTTACGTGAATCCATGTAAAAATAGAGTGTATATTGTTTTGTTGGAAAAATATAAACTACTGAACCGCTACTAATCGAATATATATGGGGTCAGTAAAACTATATAAGCGGGAGAAGTGGGGCACACTGCATAGCGAGGTGGTTTTTGACATATGGATAATTATTAACAATATTTATTAATTCAAAGTAGTTACAGATAAAGACAGATTTATAAAAGCTATATGAATATTCTTAAAGCAAATGTTTACAAGAGAATACGATTTATAATTTTACTTGTAGATATTCTTACAGGCTTTATACAACTCATATGAGCTTAAATTGGGCACCAAATTATAAACCAAAAAAGTTTTTTAGTTCCCTTATAAATTCTTTATTAATGTGCCGCAAAATATAATAAATCTTATGTGTAGGTACTTACAAGGGTTT